ATAGATTAGGATATTGACTTTGTCTAAGGGGTGAGGGTAAGCAGTGGGGAAATAGGCAGTCTGGTCAGTTACATTTGATAAATTAATTTCAGAAGGAGATGAAGGTTTTGTGCCAAGGGCTTCATGGAAATATGTGTTTGGGAAAGCCGCATGAAAAAAGAATGGATGGTGTTGTGAAGGAGTTCTTCTCAGGCGCTGGATCTTGTGATTGCAAGAGGCAGAAGGACACACCAAATTGAATTGTAGAAGTTTTCAGAAAGGTAGCTGTGCTGGTATCAAGTAGCAACAAGAATAACAGAAATGAAAGTATTATGGCATATGTAAGAAAAATACATTTATTTAATTGTGAGCTTTCAGAGATGCATTTGAAGAACTGAATTATTTTAATTCTTCAGTATAACAAGTGTTTCCCCCCACTGTTGCTATCCTAGGTACCCTTTCAGGAGCTAAGGAGAGTTGGGAATATGATTCTGGAGCTAGAGACCTTCAGAGTCCTGACTTGCACACTCGTTCAACTCTACAGAAGCTCTTTGAATTTGGAGGCAACACCATAAATCAACAAGCTGCACTGCAGAGGTTACTTACCCAGACCTCCAATCTTAGCAATTCAGTTGGAGGAAGTTACTTAGAACTTGCTAACACTGTGAGTACAATTTTAAAATCTGAATGTAGAGATGTTTTTTAATTTGTTGGGTTCTTCCCTTCACCTGTTTCAGAAAGTAATTAATACCTTAAATCGTAGCTCATAAATGACTGGGCAACTCTTGTCATCTAAGAGAGTAGTTCAAATACAGTATGTGAGTCCGCGACCACTAGTGGTCCACAAAGATACTGCAGGTGAGCTGTGGAAGCTTTTCATCGTTTGCAGGAGAAAGTGGAATGTGTGAACCAATTCCAGAATGGAACCATGGAAAATGTCAAACAGATATGGAAATGTTCTGTTTGTTTCTAGATAGATGTCAAGTATAAAGTATAAAAGGTTACCTGTACCATGAAAATTGTTGCTGACGATAACAGGTACCAAGCATGGCTGTGGTCTTCTGCTGACCATATCTTGTATCGTTAAGATTTCTTGCATGTGTTCTCACCTCCCTGGAGGTAAGGAAGAGAAAGGGGTAGAATGCCTTGACCACTGACATTTCAGAAGAGTTCTTCTTGGCATGGCCAGAGCACTGTTAGCCATGGAGCAGAGATCTTGTACAGAGTGTGACAATAATTTTGAAAGCGAACACTTTATTTTGACCACTAGTTGTTCAGGAGAAGTGAGTGTTAATTTTTTTTTCAATTGGGAGTTAGAAGTATTTTCCCACCTACTTCAGTTTCCCTTTTTTGTCCTTTCTGATTCCCTCCATGCTTTGCTTTTCTTAAAACAATCTTTGGTTGCTGTATTTATGGGATAGCTTGCTGGCAAACAATGGGTTTTAATAGGTAGGTGTTGGGGATATATTTGATGTCTGCCTTGTTTTTTTATGAAGGTAAGTTTGCCTTTGAGACCTGTTTTGGTTGGGGGGGGCTTTCAGTGGCCTGTCAGGCCAATATTAATTTGTCCTCTGCCCCCCCACTACCTTTCATTCATGGTGTTATCTTCAGGATTCTCTCTCTCTCTCTCTCTCTCTCTCTCTCTGTGTGTGTGTGTGTGTGTGTGTGTGTGTACATTATGGGTTGTTGAGAGAAGAGGAGGAGGACTTCAGTGGGTGTTAGTGCTTAAAATTATTTCTTTACATTTTGGTCTGCAAAAACATTTGGTGACTGTGATAATCTACAGAAAGTAGATGGTTAAGATCTGTCAGTCTAGGAGAATCACATTCAAAAAATTCTTATTTTGAAAGAAATAACCATGTTAGTGTGTACAAGAATGATGATGAAAGTGTGTCACCAAGTTCATATCCAGCTCTAATTGTTGCTTCCTGTCCCACATACAGATTTCTCAGGAGATATATAAGATGGTCAGGCACTCCCATTTCTTTAAGAACTTGCCATAGTTTGCTGTGGTCCACACAGTCAAAGGCTTTTACATAGTCAATGAAGCAGAAGTATATGTTTTTCTGGAACTCTCTGGCTTTCTCCATAATCCAGCACATGTTAGCAATTTGGTCTCGAGTTCCTCTGCCCCTTCAAAATCCAGCTTATACTTCTGGGAGTTCTCAGTCCACATACTGCTGAAGCCTACCTTGTAGGATTTTGAGCATAACCTTGCTAGCGTGTGAAATGAGTGCAGTTGTACGGTAGTTGGAGCATTCTTTGGCATTGCCCTTCTTTGGGATTGGGATGTAGACTGAAATTTTCCAATCCTCTGGCCACTGTTGGGTTTTCCAAACTTGCTGGCATATTGAGTGTAGCACCTTAACAGTGTTATCTTTTAATATTTTAAATAGTTTGAATGGAATTCCATCACCTCCACTGGCCTTGTTGTTAGCCATGCATTCTAATACCCACTTGACTTTGTTCTCCAGGATGTCTGGCTCAAGGTCAGCAACCACACTTCTCTTCTCTGCTATTTGTAAGGCGTCGTTGGACAGCCACTTTGCTTTCTTGCATTTCCTTTTCTTTGGGATTTTTTTTGTTATGAGCCTCCATCTATAGTTCTTCATGCACTCTGTCCACCAAATCTAGTTCCTTAAATCTGTTCTTCACTTCCACTGTGTATTCATAAGGGATTGTGTTTAGATTATACCTGACTAACCCAGTGGTTTTTTGTACTTTCTTCAGTTTAAGCTTGAGTTTTGCTATATGAAGCTGATGTTCAGAGCCACAATCAGCTCCAGGTCTTGTTTTTGTTGACTGTAAAGAGAGCTTCTCCATCTTTGGCTGCAGAGAATATAATCAATCTG